GGCATAACGTTAAAGCTCTCTTTTAAAGTGAAAAAACGCTTAGAAAATGTATAACGTACATAAAAGACAAAACATATTAGCATTATTGTTGCTTAAATCTTACCGAGGCGAGTCAGACTCCGTTTCATTTAAGTGCCCAACATGCTTTCTTTTTAAATGCTCATGCATCACCGAGGTGCTGCCGTGATACGCAAGGTCTGTTTTGCAAACCTTGCACGTAATTTTTTTACTCGTTGTATCAAGGATAAAATGCTCCCAAACTTTGGAAGTTTTTGTACGCGTGTTGGACGCCGCCATTTCTGTAACCGCGACGCTGTTGTGCAGGTGACTCTGGGCAGATTGTAATTAAGTGAGATGTCTCACTCTGTTGGAAAAACACGTCTGGCGACAAAAGTCGACAATGGAATTCATTGTCGACTTTTTCTATTATCGATTTTTGTCGACAACGTCGACGAATCGTTGCAGCCCTAAAAAGTAGAAGTGTTCTTTCAACACCATACTTAAGTGGAAGTACTGAAGTACTCAATTTTTTTTGTACTTAAGTATTGCAAGTAGACGTATTTCAAAAATTGCTACTCAAGTATCGAAAGTACAAGTATAAGTAAAAGTAAAAGTACAAATAGGCTACTGTGTATATTAAAAAAAGGCAGTCAAAAATTTAATAGATATTGTTTATATTATTTCAAACGTGTGAAAGGCCATACAGGTGTTAACAAAAAACAGAAAACTACATCTGCATTAGCATCAACAGCACTTCATCTACTATTATTTATTATTCCAGAGTCAGAATCCTGAGCTGAGCCTTTATGCTAGCATGTAGCATACAGCTAGCCAGCTAGGTTAGCTTTAGCTAACGTTATCATACAGCTAGCCAGCTAGGTCAGCTTTAGCTAACGTTATCATACAGCTAGCCAGCTAGGTTAGCTTTAGCTAATGTTATCATTCAGCTAGCCAGCTAGGTTAGCTTTAGCTAACGTTATCATTATGTTTACATTTCAGTAACGAGTAACGATTCAGCCCGTGAAAAATCGATCGGAGTAAAAGTATTGAATTAATCAAAAATATGTAGTGGAGTAAAAGTAAAAGTAGGGGAAAAAATATCTACTCCAATAAAGTACAGATACTGCATTTTGGTACTTAAGTAGTTTTTACTTCATTACTGAACATCTCTGCTATTTAGTAAAGCAGATAACACAAAATGGCTCCCAGGTGGAGCCCAGATGACTTTGTTTTCCTTCGTTTCGCTGAAGTTTCTCAGTGCCATCTGACACTTTGTTTGGGCAAATGGAAATAAATGGTCGGCTTAAGATACAGACGAACAAACAAATAAACCAGTTTTCTGCCTGTGACTTCCTCCGGAGGTTTTTGGCACCGCGGCACTTAACAAGACCGATACGTGTCCTTCACAATGTGTCTGCAAACTGTCGAGGGGATTACTAATTCTTAAGGGCAACGGCGGCCTGTTCCCTGTATTTGTTAGTGCGCCACTCCAATAGTTTTTGAGTTTTCTGCCTTTTCTTTGAAGCATTGTTTCTTTGCATGACTCATTGTTTTTGTGATGTGTGATTGTTGTGATGTGGCGCTATATGAATGAAATTGAATTGAATTAATTTTAATTTTGTAATGTCATTGTCTGAATGTGTGTTTTGGACTGATTTTGTATTTTGTGATTTTGTGTTGTTTGGTCTTCCTGCCTCAGGACCACAGATGTAAATGATCAACTATGCTATAATCTGGCTAATTTACAATCTGTATGAGATTGTTCATTAATGTGCACTGTCCTGATTAAATAAATAAATAAATAAAATAAAAAGCTGTCTGTAAAGTATTTAGCATATATTGATATATTTTCCAGCTGCTGTGATGAAAGAATGTTCATTTAAATGTAATTTGTATTATCCAAATCCGTATTCTCTTTCATGTTAAATATTGGAAATGTGCTCAGTTTCTTGCTCTGAAGTTGATCTAACCTGGCATGAAGAGTTGAGCCAATAAAAAATGTCTGAAATTAAGATGGATAGCTGAGAGATGAGCCAGATGGCGTGTGTGATTTGATCTCCCCACCTGTACCATGCATGATTTAATGTACCTCAAGTATTTGTAGAGATTTAAACATCAGGAGTATTCAGGGAAATTATATTTATTGTTGCCTGTTCGTCTGAAATTGTCCCATAAATACTCAAAAATCCACTTTATTAGAAATTCTTCTGAGAGCACATGTGTGACAGCAAATGGGAGATATGATAAGTTAATATCGTAATTTACTGGTTTGTAATTTTTCCGTGGTTCTTTCTTAACCTTTTCCAGGTGTGATGGGTGAATACGAACCCAAAATTGAGGTGCACTTTCCTTTTTTTCCCCCACTTTTTTATGTGATTTTCTGAAATTTTCTTTGGGATTCTGTCTTTCACTGTTAGAATGTACATATGAT